TAGTTGATTGCGTAATAAATTGTGCGCCCCACAATTGATTTCGCTGGCCTTTTGGCACTTTCAAAAACTGGACTCAGTGTTGTTCGCGAGGGGCAGGCATGACTAAATGATTGTGGACGTGCAACACACTGTAAAGTTACCATCAAATGTGCACCGGAAATTTTCCAGTATTTCCTCCATAACCTGATTTTCGCAGTCATGTTGACTGCCATGTTTTCCAGATGTCATTTTGTCATTTGTTGTGTGGTGTGTGACAGAAAAGTGAAAACAAAATTAGAAATTTCTGTGGCTGCATTATCTAAGCTGTTTTGTCTTTTCTCGTATGTGCTCCTGTACAGAGAATTTTTTTCTGATATTATTTGGTACCCACCTCAGTAAGTAACAATCAAGATAAATACGGAAACTTATTGATCGTTTGAAGAAAATACAAAGTGGTTGCAATGTCACTAACAGGCTTTACTGGAACAACATCTCAAACCTTACTTAATTACAGTATAAAATTCCAAACATATTCTCAGGCAAAGATAAATATTGATATTATATTATTATATTATTATCATTATCATTAAATAATATCATATTTTCATAACGTACTTGTGAACGTCCGCTATTGACATCAATTTACAAAGCTGTTCAATACCTTCTTCATATACTGGCAAGTGTCCAACTTTGTTAAATCTTATGTCACTTAAAGGTTCCAAGCTGGTCTCATGGTACATAATCATGCTCGTCTTCGTCGCTATTTACTTCTACATCCTCGATAACCTTGTGAACATCAGAATCCATGTTCGACTATCATAAATCCTTGTCAACATCATCTTCAATACCGAAGTCGTGAAAAGCCAAAAAGCGGCTGCATTTTCTTTGAGTGATTGTAGAAGTCCTTGGCGGTCCACTATCTGTAATGGAGAAAGTTGCAAAAGTTCATTGCAAAAACACAACGAACATGAGTGCAATTAATTGCCGTGTCATTCGGTTGTTTTTGATTTTACTTTCAATGTATTTGTCTTGACTTGTCTATAGACTTTAAGCCTTCCACTCTGCTAAGATTCTGTAGGCTACCTCTCTTTCCAAATTTTGAAGCTTCCCTGGAACCACTGATCGGGGACTACCAGTATAGTTCTTAGCCCCGAAACTGGATAGTGTAAAATAGTTATGAAAATTGCTGTGAAATTTTGCATCTTGGCAATTATATCCTAACTTCTCATTTGTTTCATTATACGTAGACTCACAAACAAATACCAACTCTTGCACAACCTTATAATACAGCAATTTGGTATGCCAAGCGTAATCCTTTATTATCTCGCACACAAATGGTTGTGATTGTAGGGGTGCCCCATAATTCTTTCCTTCGACAAAAATTGTAGCTTTCTTGTCCTTTTCTTTATTGAGTGCAGCTCGGGTTACCTACGATAGAGCAAAGCAAGGTCTACAAGATGATCATCAAGCACCCGCCTAAATCGTATTCCATGTAAAGTTTGTAGTTATAGTTATATTCTTATAGTACTCAAAAGCGGAATTTAGCTTAAATCAACGTGACTCTGTTTTAAAGGCAGTGTCCAGGCTAAACCTAACCCCATCCGATTAGTGTCGATTCTGAATGTAGGCCCCAGAAAAGGGGCATCTGCGTTGGTCCGCTCTTCTAACGTTGTCTCTGAATGGAGATAAGGGGCCTGGAAGTCACTGGTGCGGAGTCTGATATCAGACACCGCTCAGCCAGGGTCTGCTTCTCGACACGTACTGAGATGGCAGTGAGCAGAAGCTGCACACTGCTGCAACTGCACCTATGCAGTTGCAGCTCCTCCCCGCTGGCATGCCGACGAGGTCGAGCGATTCGAACCTGTCCGCGCCCCTAAGACAGGGTCCCCGGGAATAGGATTTTTTGTGAATTTTGGAGAGTTCGAAGTTCGGAACTGCAATCAAGGTTACGGAAAGGCCCCAGAATGACGAAAACATGGGGGCCAAATTCTGGGTGAACGCTGCCTTCAAAACCTTGAAGATCCCATTGAGATCCCAAGGTCCAAGATTAGATTTTACACACAAATCGCGTAGCTTTTTTCTTCTTAGAAATGAAGAAAAAGTTGATCCAAATAGCAAACTCCTCTATAGTTTTCATTTTCTTCCACATACGTGATTATATACTCTACTCTCTGAGGAGTACTACCGTGCATTTGTTACGTTTTAGGTCCTCTATCTGTCAAGACGTACTGATTTGATGTTGAAATCGGAAAGGATATAGGACACCTATTAGTTTCAAAACCGACGGCTGTCATATATTCATTATGTGGTAAAAATTAGTAGACTCTGTGGCAAAATGGAAAAGTACTATGACAGCCACTTGACTTTTCTGGGTATATGGTGCATTCTCCAGAATTGTTCCCATATGAACTAACAACGTGGCTGTCTTTCGATCAATTTTAACAAGCCAACTTTGAATAAGCGTCTTATATATGCTGGAGTTAATGTGTTAAGACGATCGAAAGGCAGCACGTTAATGGTTCATATTGGAACAATTCCGAAAAAAATACGAAACATATGTGGGTAATTAGGTAAGAGGTTAGCTTAGCTGAAGTGCTATATAGAACAACTAGCTGGCAAATCCGGCTCCGCCCGACCCTGTCAATAATCGTAATCAGCATGCTCATCTACCCCTGCGCCCTCTGCCGATTAAGTCCTCTGGACCGAATTCAGCCAAATACATGATTTTTGACCTTCTACCGTACACCTATCTGCTTTGCTTATTTATTTAACTATAAAGTCGACATCCAAATGACTCTAGACGAGGAAGATCAATAATTTCAGCGGTTGATCAAAGCCCCCTTTTTGGGGACCAGCGAGCCCAAAGGCTAGCTGGCCATAACCCAGAGAGAAAAATAAAGGTTTCAAAGGTTTTCGAAAGGATATTAAGACATAAAAAGGAGGGAAAAGTACAATAAAACCCTCGGAAGAGGGGGACGATCAACAAGAAAAAAGGACGAAAGGGCCACAAGGAGAACACTGAAGCAAAGAAAAAAGATAATTCGAGAAAGTTGCATTACCTACAAAATAGAGGCATTACTGGAGGTGGATACGTTTTTTGTTTTTCTTGATTCGGTGAACAAAAATAGAAACATCGAACATAGCGAAGAATCTTGCATTCTGGGAGACCAAACTGTACATCAGTTAGAATTCGTTGCGGAGAAAAGGAATAGTAACTACACGGGAGACGTTCTGCGGAGAAAGTGTGATATCCGTAATCAGCCTGTAAGATAGCCCTTATAGACGAAGCTTGAGCAAGCTCTATGACAAAGAAATTTTGGGGCCCGGATATCCGAATAGCGCCAAACTAATAGTGTATTCGTAATCAGCAGGCTCGATCACCCCCTTGTGCCAACTCCCAGCCCTGTAGCGCAAACTTTGGAAAAAATCGATAAAAATCGACAAAGTAATCGATAATTTTGAAAACTAATATTGTATTCTGAATCGCCATGACCACTTATCCCCCCCCCCCCCTGTGCGAACTCCAAGCCCCGTAGGTGAACTCTGCAAAAAAAATCGATAAAAATTGATAAAATCGATATCCATCAATAACTGAAAGCACTCTACGACACTCGCCCCGCCCGAAGTGTATGTGTGCAAAGTTTGGTCCGGATCGGTTTGAGAATAAAAATTTCTATCTGGACATACGTACAGACACACAGAAAGACATACTTTCATTTTATATATGAGACATACATAAACATTGGAATTTAATAATAAGGATTTTTCTGCTTTTTCAGGCTTCGCTAAGGCCCGTATGCACTACATCCCCGCGGGGAGGGGAGGGGATCTGAGAGGGGAAGCGTCATATTTCGCTACTCTGTACATCTTTCGTCTTCCTTCTTTTCTGTGATATGAAAGTTCTCATACCCTAATACCTGCGCATAATGGATGCCAGGTTATTGCCGTACAAGATTAGATTTTCACAACTTTGTGTGATCCCCTGGGGATCCCCAGGGGATCACTCAAACTGTTGAAAATCTAATCAATCATGCCAGTAACCTGGCATCCATTATGCGTAGGTATCAGGGTATGAGAACCTTCATATCACTGAAAAAGAAGGAAAGAGAAAGGTATACAGGGCAACGAAATATGACGCTTCCCCTCTCAGAGCCCCTCCCCTCTCCGCGGGGATGTACGTGCATACGGGCTTAAGAAAAGAGGATTATAAATTACTGAACTTGAAGTATGTAAATCTATAATCGATCTTCTATCACTAGTACAGAAAAATAGGAGTTGCGGGATTCACGGTAATAATATGGCCAACAGAAATGACAGCTTTTAGAATTTCAGGCCCCCTCCTCTTATTGACTGATTCATATTTCATGTTCCTCTCCATGCTCTAAATCCTAAAATATATTATACACGTAACCTCTTACACTGACATTTTAGTGTTTGCTTTGCATCTCCTTTTCTATCGCATAAGACACTGAATGCATTAACAGTCATTTGCACTAATGCATTATTGTTGCAAATCGTCCTTGAACAATTGAACAGTGACTTATGGTACTGATAACATGGAGATCACTTCTTATGGAAGAGGGATTCTAATATTAAGCGCTACAATCTGTTGAATTTTCGCTTTGTTAGTTATCCAGTGTAACCAAGGAAAATTGTTTGTTCAAAACTTTTTACTTATAATTGTTAATTTTCGATAGCTAAGTAAGAAGGCAGTTGATAGTCAATAAGCTTGCAAATCCCAATCAAACGGGTTTCCCGTTTCCTTCAGCTGACACCATCCATTTTCACCACTTTAGATGATGTCTTACGAATTCTTTTCATTTTTTGGGGACTTTCACCAATAGTTTCACTAAGTCTGGTCAACAATCCGACCTGTTAAGCTTTTTCAGTTGGCGGCTCAGCGCTGAACTCGTTTCGACTTTTTTGTTCCGCATCATTTCTCTTTCGTCCAGACAACTTGACATATTCGTGCCATAGCTGAAATCTTTCCAGATCCTCCTGCCATCGCCGGCCGCAACGGCATGATTGTGCATAAGGTGGGGTGAAAGAGCATGTTTCTTACAATCAAAGTAGCAGTTTTTGGTGGCTGTGGTTTCTTTAATGCTCCGAAGTTTTCCAGATAGTAATCCTCGCGTGGCTAGTGGGACTCGTCTCAGCTGGTGGAGGAGGCGGCTATAGCGGTGGCGCCGCTGTCGGCCCCTACGGTGGCCCGGGTGGCGCAGCCGTAGCGGCCGATTTCAATCCGGTCCTTTTGCAAGGAGTCCGAGGTTATCCTGGGATACGAGCACGAATCAACCAACGAGCGTTCCAGTACGCTAGTGGAATGATAGGCGATGTGCTGAATCAGGAGATTAAAAAAGCTAGAATACCACCGATTACGCAGTGCATCCCACAGGTAAAGGCAACGCTGAGAATTTTTTTAATTTTGCACTCAAAACGGACGCCCTGACCTCAGGGAATCTTCGGTACAGGTCTCGACAAGATAAAGCGACGTATTAGTGGGCGGGGCTTTATGTTGCTTGCGTTTTGCGCCTCTAGTCTTTTGGGTGTCTCCACTTGATATGAACACTGCCCCTGATGAACTGATTTTCCCGAATTTCGCCAATTTTTCGCTTTTGCTAATATATTGTACCTTTAGGTCAATGGCTGTGTACAAATTTACAACCTTTACGTTTCACGGTACCGTTGCCCACAAAGGGTTGTCATCTACCCAGCACCTCCAAATAGACTTGTTTTACAAGTTCAAAATTTGGATATCGGGTAAGTGTTAGTGTATCGATACTGTACATGAGAGGTGCCGCAAGATTTGCTCCTTTTTTCTGCCTGCCTTTTTTCTCGCGGCCGATCGAGAGTAAAGACAAGCTTTTGTTTTTTTAGAATTACTGGTAATCTTGGTGGTCAAATCGTTATCCTTTTGCCCATAGCACTTACCGGAATCGTTCAAGCGAATATCCATCAGGTGAGCCCATTCAATTCCAAAGTGTTTTCTTAGTAGTATTGGTAGTAGTTACTAGTTCAGGGTACTAGTATAGAGTTAGCTTCGAATAATTAATCTCTCCATAAATACACACCAAGTAAGAAGTAAATTGCTCAGCAACTTTCAGTATTGTCGGAGTTCCAAGGTATAGACTTTTTTCCTCACTGATACGCGGGCCCCAACCAGGGCCCAGCACGAGGGTGGCAAGCGGACATCGGTGAAACGGCTTCGCCTTCGCCACTAACGATTTTTACGTTCCTTACTTGATTCCGCTAGCTGCGTAGATTGTTTGATTGAAGAGCGCCTTCCTCCTGAGACCGGCTTCGTTGCTATTTCGGATCCTAACAAGGAGGAGAGAAGGAGTTTCGGAACCAAATGTTACTATATACTAAAATTCAGGTGCAGAACAGATTTATATAAAAATTTTGAAAAACTTATGTGAATCAGAAATTTTGCCTACCTCATGTGGGCATTAGGTGGGCAATTACCCACCTAATGTGAAAAAAATTTGGACACACTCTTCACTCACGTTGTTCCTTAGTCCTAGTGCGCGTTTACATACCAAATTTTGCGCGATTTCGTCATTTCTGCGTTGCAAACGAGCCATTTTTCCATTTTTTGGTAGCGCGAAATTTTGAGAAAAAGGTTTGCCACAACCTTCAATCACATAAATTTTCCAACTTCTCACATGTACCTGCCAAGTTTCATACCATATCGTCATCTGTGCGCTGCAAACGAGCCATTTGAATCCACATCTTTATCCACCAGTTATGCAAAGTTTTTGGAAGAAGTGCTAATTACACCTTTCATTCACATGAGTTTTTCGTACTTCTTCATACTTTGTTTCCACTAGCCTCTCTTCGTTGGCTTGCAAAATTTGGTGCCATATCTTTACGCATACATTAAGAACTAGTCATGTATGTTGTTGCAAATAGCATCGGTTAAGTGACGTCACGCGTGCTGCAGTCAGCGATAGCGCGGTTTGACGCGCGCGAACTCCAATGTTCGCCTATTGAGGCACTTAAGATGATACGCGGAAAGCATAAACTACTAATTTTTTCCGGGGCTCCGCCCCGGATCCTGCAAAAGGGATGTTCTGTGTTTGCTTTTTTCACCCAAAACAATTTACAGCCTGTTATTTGCCCACCTCGTGCCGGGCCTGGCCTCAACAGCTTTGGTTCTAGGCTCACTCCAATCCTTAGTCGTTCCTAATCTTCAAAACTAAGAATTACTTGACCACACTTTCATTCGATAAGCAACAGAAGCGAAGCAGAGTAAATATAATGACATTATAAAAAGTTAATGAAAACTTTTGGAGCAATTACATATTTATATCGAGCACCACAGTAATAGTGGGTTTTCAAAGTATTATTTTGCTTCTTATGTGCTTGTAATGGCACCTCTACCAAGCGATCTCCAAGAAAGCATGAGGCTACTCTTCAATAGAGCATAGCAAGCTGTACAAAATGGTATTGTCCGCGCCAAGTTTGTTCCACGTGAAGTTGAATTACAAAATTCAAATTTAAAAGCTAATGTCAAAATTGAAGTTCTCGAAAAGTCGAAAATTGGATTTTCGTTCAAAAACTTTCTGCGGACATCCCACTCGCACACATCTATACTATCGACATGAGACATTCATGTGCAGTTGGTGGAAGGCTAGTTCGCCCGAAAGGGTTGGTCACGCGGACAATTTGCGACAAAGCACGCAGGTCATGTTACAGGCATACAAATTTGCACCAGCTGCCTGGCGGGGTGGAGCCTATCGGAGGCGGTTGTGGTTCTCTAACCATATGCAGTAGCTGCATTTCTTCTTGATTAGGCAAGGGTAATTTTTCGATCTTTTGTCTTTCTTAGAGCAATGCCAGGCCGTTCTGACATAAGTAATTTTATATTACAGTTTGCCTTTCTCAGTATAAGTGTGCACTATTAGGGTTTCTCAAGTGTAAAAAACTTAGAAGTGGGAAGCAGGATTTTGAATCTCTCGATAAATGTGCTCGAAAGAGGCTAAAAAATTTACAGTTATACTTACAAATGTAATATAGAATTACTCATGACAAAGCGGCCCAGCATTGTTTTAGGAAAATACGAAAATTTTCGGTTTCTCAATTCGTAGTCAGGACAACAATACCGCAGCTGTGTATTTTTTTATTTATTCATTTTGTACGCCAGGAGGCGCGCTTCAATACAACAAATCAGATCAGAACAGGGTGTAAAACGACAAATCAATAGAAAACATGAAAAGAAAGAAAAAAACCGACAAAGGAACAATCGTATTGAAATGAATAAGTCATCCAGATCTTGTTTAACCTACTTTGCACTCTCTGGAGGAAAGAGATACAAACGTTGACCAGCTCATTCCCTCTTCGCCCGTCAGCCCGATCAAGCACACAAGTCGTGGAGAGCGGAGGCCCGGCGATCGGCTATACTGGCCGCCCCCGCCAGATAAGCCAAAACGGGTGTACTGGCAGGGGCTGCCAGTACCGCCGCTCACCGAAACCCCCGCCCCTCCCCACGAACCCGCCATGACAGACCGGAGTGGCGGAAGAAGACAACACAACGCCCCAGATACTAGTATTACCTCCAGTGTAGTGCAACGGCCAGAAACAACCCGAAACAAAACGACTTCAGAGAACCTGACTGGAGGTACTAGAGGAGGTAATAAAAAGTGAGAGAAGCTATCTGACGAAAGGTACACCCGGAGTTGAGAAGCTCTGGAAAGACACGGGAGAGCTAGGAAAACATACAAAAGGTAGCCTGTGCACGTTACTGCAGTGCAGGGAAGATACAGTCAAAACAAAAAGCGAGTGATAAAAAAGACAAGAACAGCAACAGATAAATTCATTCCACGTCACGTATGCCTAGCACTTGTAGAATGTCCATTTTTCGGATGGCAATTTTGAAGTGTGCTGAATTTTTAAGGCACAAAAGAGTAGTAGGCAAACGTTCCAGCCATTTGGCGAATTTGAAAAAGAAGGAACTCGTACACCTGCTCAGATAATCGCCGGGGGCAGGCGGCCATGCGAATTTTGAGCAAGCGCGCACCGGAAAAATAGTTCGTTGATTTTTTGCCGCCCGCTTGCAGAAATTTGGAAGAAAATTGGCGAAATTAAAGACGAATGCTTGAAGAACAATCGCGGTTTCTTTATGGATTAGCTGCGGCGCAGTGGCCGCATTCTCGCGGACTTTCCGCGAGAATATGCAAAAATTTCGGGGGCCGCACGGTCCTTTGTGGAGGACCGCGCAACCCCCAGGTACTTTCCGCTGGGAAAAAGTACCTCAAACTTGAGTAATTAAACCAACGGTGACACTTCTGCCACACAGACTCAGATAATTGCGGGGGGCAGGCGGGCACCGGAAAAATAGATTGCTGATTTCTCGCACCTCGCTCGTGGATTTTTTGCAAAGCAATCGGGACTTTTCGGAAGACCGCTCGCTGAGTCAGCGGATTTTTGAGAGACCGCCTGTTGAATTTTTTTCGCTCTTATCTTTTGCAGATATATTGCTGAATCTCTGAGGAATCGAGAATTCAGCAAGCGGTCTTCCGAAAAGTCCTGATTGCTTTGCAGAAAATCCGCGAGCGGGGTGCGAGAGATCAGCAAACTATTTTTCCGGTGCCCGCCTGCCCCCGGCGATTATCTGAGGAGTCCTACTTGCGCTCGACGTACGCCCGAAAATGCCTAAAAAGAGTCCGAGCGCTGCTGAAAGTTTGGCCAGCGCTCGCTGAAAGGAATTATTTGCCGAGCGCTTGCAAAAAATGCTGTATTGCTGCCCACTGGCAGAATATGCGACCGTAAAGGAAGTGCCGCCCGTTGAAGGTTTGGCCACGCCCCAAAATTCTGCTGACCGCCTGCAGAAAAGCGCGAGTTTGCGGACCGCCTGCCCCCGGCGATTATCTGAGTGTATACGTGTATATGAATGTATGATGCCGATAGTAAAGATGTGTGCGATTAGAAGGATGTAGGAAGCTTCTCGAAAAAGATTTGCTTTTTTCAATTCTAATGCGTTGGGAACTATTGAGATTCCAAAAACTTCAGGTTGAACATTTTTCGGCGCAAAAGCACTAACACCAATTCGGAGAACCTGCTTTGCTCTATCGAACAGTACCCTTATGCGTTCCTGGGTTTTCCCTTGCGGTGTCACAACAAGCAGATAAAAAGCAACTTTAATTTCTTGATTAACTAATAGAAGACATGAGCTGGAAGGAGAATCACTTACGAGGGGTCCGATTTGCGTAGCCACAAGAAAGACTGGCCTTTCTTCAGAATAAAGCATCGCCATCTCTGCTTTTTGAAGCTCCGTTCTGTTGCCTTTAGTTAGAAATTTGCGCTATTAGCTGTAAATTTTGCTCGATCTTCTATTTCCGATTTTTTTCGAATGGAAAAATCAAAATATGCCTACTCAACCGACAAAATTTTGCCTCATTTCAGGCATCTATATCCGTCGAATTAACTATCGAACGAGGACCACATGGTCCATATCTGCGACTCGTAAATTGTAATGTTCAAGTTGGATACGTAGACGCCTACATCGAGAATGGTGGCTTGATTGGTGACATTGTCAACTCGCAATTTAGGGTAAGCTCTAGCCAGTTGTTTTGTAATAGATCGTAATCCCCTATACGACAAATTTCAGTCACGTATTTCCAACCAAGTGCGACAGATGATTCCTAGCCAAATTTGCAATCAACTACCTCAAATAATCAATGAGAAAGTGAACACCAAATTGGCCGGTCTACCACAGGCCGTAGGTGTTTCACAAATGCTCAGTCTATTCAGTGGAGCATTGATGGGACTTGGTGGAGCCCCCAGTCAGCAATATGTAAGAATTGCTGTTTGAATAAAAACTACTCTGCAAGAAAATCCGAAAAAATTTCAGTGTCAAACTCAATGCAAAGGGCCTGCAGCATCGCAGCTGCCAGTTCCACAAACCGCTGTGGCCCCAGCAGCCGGTCCCGCAGCGACAGCACCTGTCAATGTCTCACCCGCACAAGCACCACAAATTCCTCAAGCTGCCTACAATGAGAAACCCGCAGTGGCAAGAGGTACACCACAACAAGTCTACCATACAAATCAGGTAAGTCGGGATCGTTTAATGTGAGCACACTAATACTAATACTTGTGATGAGCTCAGGCTACCACTTTACGTAAAATTGCACAACCGTCTCGTCCTGTCGCACAAGCTGCACCTCCACGTCGTTTCCGTGCTGTACCTTTCCGCCAAGGAAACGAGCGGAAGACGGTAAATAAACTACTAAAGACTGTGTGTAGCACTTAACTTGCAGAAGCGCAAGGATTTTCCATGGGGAAGCGTGCCTAAAACGCACCTACTTCTTATTGGTCCACTTACTACTAACCAATGACAAGCTTATGTGTACCCCTTCAGCTCTACATCCCAACCGAACGAGTGAAACGAGAAGTAGCTCGAATCTATCGTGTTACCAATGGTAACGCTGTGCCTACCGGTGTCGCGACCGTCGTGCGACTGCAAAGAGGCGCTGGTGGTGGATACGATGTGCAGCCGTACCCGGCGGCTGCAGTTGGAGGATACCAAGGGCAACAAGGAGGATTCCAAGGGCCGCCACAGGGAGGCTTCGGTGGTAACAGATTCGTGGGACCACGTCTTCCACCTCCACCTCCTGTAAGGTTTACCATTCCTAATGGTTTTCCTGAAAAATGATAAGTTGATTTAGGTGCGTGGTGCTCCACCACCATCATTTTCGCCTCCTCCTGTCAATCTCTGCGCTAAATGTCCGGCTGCCAGTGGAGGCGGTGAAGACCCAATGCAATTCCTCAAACTACTCGGCGGACAACTTGACATGGTAAGAGGACTTGCATCGCAATCCAACAACAAGATTGCAATTTTTAGCGCAAGCTCAATGATCTCTACCTCTCACTTCAATTACTGAATACTCAAGCGACCTCAAATGATTTCACCATTGATCTCAGCGGCGAATTTAGTCCGAATGCGCAAGGAGGTACGGTGTCACAAAACACAACTTTAAAATCTGAGATCCGTGTTTTCTAATTACAGGAACACCATTCGGAGCATTCCCCGTCACATTCCCCTCTTACTACGATAATCATATGGCTGAATTTATCCTTTCCGACTATACGATCAACTCTTTGTTCTACTGGTTGCATAGGTAAGTGTTGCATAGCCGTTGGAGTAAAATAGCACAAATATGGATTCCTTAAAGAATTCTTTCTCCTTTCACTGTCGTCCTGGTACAAGTCGTTAATTTACGCAAAACCATCTACTACTGGAAAAAATTACTTTTGTAGTAAGAAGACATTCACTCAAATAAAATAACACAAGAATGTGCTAAATGGATTGATCAAACACATAAAGTGCAGCGACTTCTGCCTTGTTTCATTTTAACGAATTAATCGCTAGTTGCTCGCTGGTTGATTATATAACCAGCCACATGGATTAAGCCCGATATCAACCTAACTTGGGTGACTGAACATTCATTATCAAATACAGAGATTATAAGGTGAGATGGGTGAGTTAATGTATCATAACCGAGGTTATATGCGTAAACGAGTTGCATAGAAATGAGCGGTATAAGTGAGATTTAGTGGAGTGACAAAGATGTTAAATGTATCAAGCACCAATGAGTAAGTGGAAAAATGAGAGCTAAGTGTGAGTTATTAAATGATAAGACAGAGATCTTAATGAGATAAGTATCAAAGGTTCAAACAGTGTAAGAAATTTAGGTGGAACTTCTCTCTAGTGACGCCTAGGAAATAAAGAAGTTTGTGTAAGAGTTGAGGCTTCAGCGCATAGCGCCCACTTCATCAACGTGCAGTGAGGGATCAAGTATAACTGTTCATATAGGAGGCAAACGTGCACTTAGGTGGTTAAGAGAATCAAGTACACCAATATTCAGCTAACAAAGATGGAAGCTGGACATTAATCGTGATACAAAGCTTGAAATTTAGACGAAATTGAAGACATCGATCACTTTTTCCATTGAACACGAGTTGATTCGTAGTCAACTATATAAATTCTCCTAATGGATATGCAAACTTGCGGCAAATTTGTGAATGCGTGGCTTCTAGTCATCGGTATCGGAGTTGGACCCAACCACATTTTCATACCTTAGTGTTTCTTCAGTGCCAAATTTACGTAACCATCTTTGTTGCCAATACAATTTTTTCAGAAAACAGTTCTTGTCCTTCCGCATTGGTCCAGAGACTCCCAAAATTGGTGAGCTTCTGAAAACGACCTGCAGTGATGATGAGGATGACGAATTGGAGGCCACAGAAGTTGAGGTGAGCAAACCAATTCTGAAGTAAGCTTATAACGAGGTCAAAAATTTGAGCTCGATGAACAAACTCGTCGTCGACGTGCCCGAAAGTCAAGGAAGACCTTGAGGCGATCAAAACGAGGTGCATCCACTCTAACTACTCTGCTGTCACTAAGAATGAAAGGAAAACGAGGAAAGCGACAAGATGATGCTGCTGGAGGATTGGCTGACTTGGGCATCTGCTTTGGTGATATACTACCAGCCGTTAGGGAAAAGTATCCAAACCAGAAAATTGCTATACAACTTCGAACAGCTCGGGCACCATCTATCATACTCAGTGCTGCCCGCGGAGGTTGGTTTAAAGATTGCAGTTATGATTGGATAAGTATTCATGTTTGCAGATAAGAAAGTTTTAACCATTCTTTCAGGCATGTTGACCGCGGATCTCGTTGCAGATGCGGATATCTATATAGATGGCACCAACAATCGGGTGAGTTCTGCTTAGGAATGCTCTGAAAGTTCCTATCTATCTCCACCGTATAAGCCCTATTCATACTCTCTCTTTCAAACTTTTAAACATAACTTTCCTGCTAAAAGCTAGCTACTGAACATCAAAAGAAATTATTTAGAGTATTGCAAAAGTTGGAGGCAGCGAAAGAGAAGAGGAGATTGAAAGAGATTGAATTGTAAAAAACCAAAATGAATAAAAATCGACAGATTTTACTGCAAAAGCGAGCAATGTAGGCGTCTTAACTGGTATTGTTGCCCTCGCGCGTTATCTATCATGAATGTATGTAGTGCCTAAACAAATGAGAAGATTTGCTTCGAAACGATCTCGTTGTAGGAAGATAGGTTACTGACCGTGCATGAAATGCAGCTTCAAAATTCCAAAATTTGAGCTTCATGACTCTCCAGTCGCCATTTTGGCTCCTAACGTAAGGGTGATGCTCACACAGGATTCGGAACTTTTTTGCAAAATATGTTGGAAGGGATCTTGTGCACTATTTTCATATTGTTTCCTCTCTGCGACCTCATCCTTTATTTCAGCATTGCTCAAATTCCGCGCGCTTGTGAGATTACGCAGTTGTAGCATGTACAGGGGCTTTCAATCTGAGTGTCACGGTCGACGTGGCTCAGGTCCTTGCGAACCGCCTCGCATGGGTCTCCCACGTGGCGCAATGCCGCATCCGCTGAGGCCTTCGCGTTATCGGGTGCGGTAGTGTACCACGTGAGAGACCCAAGCGACGCGGCTGTCGAGGGAGTGAACCACGTCGACCGTGACACTCAGATTGAAAACCCCTGTAAGTCATTTACTAACTTCCTTGAAGCAAGACAGGTTCGCGGTGGTAATATGCCTGCTGAGTTTTGCATTAATCATTCGCCTTTGGCCTCAAAAATAAAGTCCAACGTGGTTTCTACGACGTGCTAAGCCCAGATTTCAAGCAAAATTGTTCCAAATTGCAAATCTTGTAGATCACTCAAATTTCGCGATTCAATTTTTGCTTTGCTTTATTGAATAAAACGTTCATCCACCACTGTTTTTCGCGTTTACTTTGCGATGTGATGCGACGTTATTTTGAAATGAAATGAAATATTAAATGGCTCATAAATTAATTAGCACTTATAAAGGAAGGATAATAACATTAGTTGGAGATTTAAGATAGGATGTGTATCATTAAACGCGTACGTTGATTCCAAATCTGCTTTCCTTTTTTGCGGAAAGATTTCGGAAAGAAGTTATGAGCGTTTGACTGCCCAAATTTGCTAAGCGTTGATTGGCTCAAAATCAAAAAAAAAAAGCTCTAAAACAATACCTACGCATTTCCACCGGCTGTTCCTTCCTTGCAAACAATATAATCGTTATAAAAGTGATCTTCTACTTTCCGGCGCTTTGTACAGCCTTTCGCCAATTTTAGGCCACCTAAACCTTGGCAATTTGGACATACAAACGCTCATAACTTCTTTCGAAAGCTTGTTCCGCAAATAAAGGAAAGCATATTTGGAATCAGCGTTTAAAGCCGCATCTAACGATATACATCTCATCTTCAATCGCCGGCTAATGTTGGTATCCTTCCCTTGTTAGATGGTACCTGTCCTGGCTTAGCATCTATACAATCTTTGGGCAGAAAACGCAAGAACAGGATTTGGATTCAGAAATCAAATGCAAACAGACATACAAGCTGTTTCATCAATACTAACGTTCTTCATAAACACAATATAAGAAGGGCTAATGTTTAGGTGGGTACCATCACGCTCGCCACTACCATAATACTAGTGGCGCACCTGCAAGGAAATCGGCTAAGTGGATCAGTTGAAATCGCAAACCTAAAGCTGACAGACAGGACCGGTTCATTGGGATTGCCGCAAGATGCGCTGGATAACCTAGGAAACCTCGGAAAAGAGTTAATCCAAAAAGTACGTTTTTTTAAAATATATTTTCCAGTTTGTTAATGTAATCATTTGCAGCTAGCCAATGATGCACTACAAAAAGGTATCCCCATAAACATTCCTCTAAATGGACTAGGTGGTCTCCCGATTAACATCGTGAACCCAGAAGTCCGTATCATAGAACATGGACTGTACATTGCAACCGACTTGACTATTTCGCCATCATTGTTAGGAGTTGGTAATGGCGGTTGTTATTAGCTGAGTTAGGAGCATTAACAATTATCTGTAATAAGTAAGCATGATAGATTCTGTAGCTGTTTTCGCTCTGTTCTACTCTTTTTGAGGATGTAGTTTTGCGTGTACTACACAAGGCTATGAGCCGCTCAAGTTGTGCCTCGTTGATGTAACGACACGACGGATTCGCATTCATAGCTCTGACTTGAGAGCGCCATAATATTGCCGATGAACGTTTTTCTGTACACATCATGTTCTTCTTTTTCTCGTATGTCACCGACACTGCCTTAAATAGCCGCTTTTTCAACGGCGGTATCTGTGTTTTAGCTTCGCCTAGTTTGCCTGTATCTTTGTGTAGAACTGGTTGTGTGATTGGGCAGTACGTGCTTAGGCGTTGTCCTCCACTATGTTTCGAACTTTGCTCACATGTAAATTAACACAGGATAAGTTATAACTGAGACAATAAAGTCTGTACATATCGATGATGGCCAGAAATCAAGGATGCATTGTGTGTAAAGGGAAGAATTGAGGCTGTGCCGTTATAGTTCGCAAGCTTTTATAACGACCAACAAGAAGAAAAATGTGTTTTTTGTCTTCAGTACTTTCAAGAAAACTTTGAAAGTTTGTTCAAAGAAATAGCGAAGAATAAGAAATTTGAGGAGAGAGTATGAACTAATAGATGCGAAAATAACAATCAAGATAATTGAGAAAGCAAGAATAAGAACTCTGTCAGCTAGTCTAGTGACAAGTTCGAGAAAGTTCGGAGAAAGAGGGGGAGGGAGAACAGTCATAGGTAAAAGAGTGTGAGGTTAGCCAGGTTTTCAGATAATTTTTGAGGTGCTTTCTAAAACTTTAGGAGGCCTGTAATCCTAATGCATCTTCTTTCATAAAAATCTTGAGAGTCTCTTCGTGAAATGACATTTCAGTATTTCCTTTGATTCTCAAAATTGCGTGCATGAAAATCATTGTCGAGGAACGGATTAGCTTGTGAAAAAGCTTTATTTGCGGCTCGGAGATCGGAGTCTTTCGTTATTTGTCTCAAAATAACTATTTTATACTATAGACATGTTGAACAAGAGCGTGTGCTGACCGGATTGTTGGATTCTTTTTATAACCTCTGGTGACACCCAGCAGTTTCGCGTTCCGTTTTCAGAGTATCGTGCGGTATAAGTTTCGTTTTCCGAAACACAACGAGGCGGCTGAGCGATAAGCAAAACGCATCTTTTCGACTGAGCGGCTCCCTCAATCGAAAAGGTGCGTTTTGTGCTCGTGAAATTAGTGTAATTAGTTTTTGTCCAGAAATTTCTCAAAAAATCGTTGATATTTTTGAGGGTGTAATTTACAAGCACTTTTTATCTAATGAAAACAGTTTGTATACCAAGATAATTTTTGATAAACGAAAGGGGCGAGTGATCATTCTAGTCAACTATCATTACCATTATTCATCAATAATAATATAAAACTATACTGCAGTAATTGATGTGGTTTCGTTTCGCTGGTCATTTTTAAACACAATCTTACCACCCGTAGAAGTCTGGTCAGCGAGTTCTACATTTCGTGTGACTGACTAAATTGTGGTTGAGTTTTTGTGTTTTTTATGTCGCATCGAGTGCTCAAAACAAAAATGATAAAAAAAATAATGATGGCTCTTATCCCTTAATAACGTCTCCACACAAACTTAGCAATCTGCAGCCAAGTCGCCTTTATGTCTTAACGACGCATTCATTGGAATTTTACAAAAGTGGTAAGGAAGGAAGAACGGAGCTAAGCTGCTTTGATTAGGGGGATGAAGAAGCACCATAGATACAGTTCATGGAAGCATCTGAATATGAAAAATTTTCCTTCTCGTCTTACCGGTGGTTTTCATACAAGCCCTAAAGCAACCAACGTCAAATACTTCTTTCTTTGGATTATGTCACAAATGAACAAGCTCTTCCTACAAAATTTTGAGCTACAAATATTTCGCAGTGATTACCAGTTCACTTAAACCGCTCGACATGGAAGTTGTTCTTCCTTCAAAAATGTAGGCAGCATCTTTTCTGCAGTGCATACATGTTTAGCACATTAATACATCAATCTATTTGATAACGTGGTCAAGTCCAAAAAACCTATTTCCTATCAATTCTCCATTTCTATGCGTAGTATATCTCTTGTGATGCTCACTATGCTACTATGCTTAATTCGGAATGTGTGAAAAGTCAACGTTATATAAGTTGCAAATAGTTTGAAAATCTTTTGACTCTATAAAAACATACATTCCTTTATCTATGGGATACGGTAAGCATAAAATAACACAAATTTTCCATATTGAACAACATAAAGTGATGAGCTACTATAGTGTAGGAACCCTATATACATACAGGTTGTCGCTAAAGTGCATATTTATTTGATCGTTAGTAAGTCTTCGGTCTCGCAATATTACGTACTCCTTGAAAGTATAACGTAAAGGTAGACCTCAGGTATTGTAGCTAACCATGAGGCGGCCATTTTCTCAATCAAATTACGATAGAAACCTTCAGCATAATGGCACCACTGTAGATCATCCTATATTTGCAGCAATTTCAAAATAATTTTTGGAAATTAGCTTAAGAGGTTTTCTACTGTGCATATATAGAAACAGGAGAAAATGTTTTATTTGTCAGCAACTTCGCTGAACACAGTTGCAGAAATTTTACCTTTTCTAAAATTCTTAAAGAATGGATATTCAACTTGCCTGAGAGCATCTAGCAATTATTACTATGTTGACACCGTGATAGAGATGATCCGCTCTTGAAATCTTTCAAGTCAACACTTTGATAAAATCAAAGAAAAAATATGAGATAGATTCTAATTCTGCAAACATACTTTGGGGACTTCGTCTGCTATAAAAGTTGAGTTAGCAAAAGTAAAAGTATAATAACGCCGATATTGCTGTGCCGTCTGTTTGAGCAGTAACCAAGATACTACAACTTTTATCAAACCGGCTAACGCTTCGCCCTATTCGCCATCGTTAGAGCCTGGAAAGTCGAATGTATAATCGAAGCATCTTCAGACGCCAACATCAGAGCTAAAGATAACGTTCAATCCGTGACTAACACGAAAGCCAAAGTAGGTTGAAGTACAGACATTGCTAACTCACCTTAGATGACACAATAGGAGGTGCATTAACCATTAAATGTAGGGGACATGTACCGATAGCGACAAAAACTTCTTCTGTTATCTAAAAATGGACTTACACTATGGAGTTAGCTTGCCAAGTAGCTAAGCCTAATAAGCATAATTTCGATAATCTAATGACAGGGCCTCAAAAAAAGTGTTTGAATACCTACCTCAATACAAAGTGATGATTGTTTATTCTTGATTTAACTGGCTTGGCGGTTGGAAGGCGGGGCTTGGTGACCTACCTAAGGCTAGATAATGATCCGAGAGCACCGCGCGAGAAAGACGCAGGCTGCGTCGCGGGCGCGAGCGGCCTTGATTAGATCACAAAGTCCCGCCTTCCAGTCGCCAAGATAGTTGGATCAAAGGTTATTTTACCTTAATTTCATGAGTATAGGACGCGGGGGATTTTTTCTGAAATCGAACAACACAGACACGTCAAATGACTTTGCGACAAAAAACTATTTACGGTGCTGCATACTGCCTGAAAGAGTCGTGCGGCATAAGTCTCGTTTTCCGAAACACAACGAGGCGGCTGAGCGGCACGCTTGAAAAACCGAAATAGGTGCGTCTATACGCGTAAAATTAGGGTAGATTGTTCGAAGTTAATGTATTTTAAGCTGCAATAAGTCGTGCACTTCTCAGTTCTAAATAGGTCTCAAAGAACCTTTCGATAGAGAAATATAATGAATATAATACATTGAATGAATATGATGTATAATGTCGATATAATGAATCATAACATCCGGAATCAGCCTTCCGAAGAAGGCCTGGATGAAGTGATGTCATGAGGAAAAACGCCTAAAGATTTGATACCTCCTTCTTTTGCTCCGAAAAAAATCGTAGCCGGTATCAAGGCAGATCGCATATGAGCATAAAAGCAAAAAAAATTTGATAATCCGCTGCTATAAAAACGAATAACTACAGTACAATAATGAAAACAAGGTTGATGCTGTGCGCAGCTTGGTCCGTGCACGATGCGTGTACGGTAGCCCTCGCGCGTAGATGTGTGACTGCACCACGCGGCGCTGGCCCCGTCAAACGCATTTTAAGTTGTATACTACGAACCTGTAGAAGTACAAGCGTAAATTTTCATCTTTCTACAAGATTTAGTTCTCGAATATGGCTTTTCCTAGTCAGATGATCTCCGCTTCTTGAAGTTCTTGTTAAAACATGAAAGAGGTTTATTGATGCGACGTTTTGACTTCTCCAGCCGGCTTGTCGCGTGCTTCCCTTTGGATAGCAGCCTGACGCTGGGAGAACGACCACTCACGATGGTGGTAGGATGGTAGAATATAATAATATAATATAATATACTAGCTGGCTTACCCGGCTCCGCCGTATGTTCCGAATAGAAAATTCCATTTCTTAACCGATCCGGACCAAACTTGGCACACATACACTTCGGGCCCCGGCGGGTGTCATAGTCCACTTTTCGTTATCGATCGATGACGAAAAGTAGCCTATGACACCCGCCGGGACCCGAAGTGTATGTGTGCTAAGTTTGGTCCCGATCGGTTCAGAAATGGAATTTTCTATTCGGAACATACGTACACACATACAGACAGACAGACAGACATACAGACAAACAGACATTCAGCTTTATATATAGAATATGTATATATATATTTTTTTTACTGTTCTTTGCTATGGAATGCCGTGATTGTATTGAACAGAATGATAATGAAAGAGTAGCAGACCCCCTTCAAGGGAACAATGCGAGGATAAAAAAAAGAGCTCCGCTAAATCAAATTTTTCGAAAACTAAGACTTGACCCGTGGAAAACTGAGAATTTATGTATGTACTTCTAGAGGTTAGTAGTATGGGTCAAACACTTATGTGCGAGCAGCAGAGCATCACTTTGGCAAGAGCATAAAAATCTCTGT